TGGGCTGGGAGTTCAGCAGCGATGTAGTTTGATGTCATCACCTCATTTTATAGGCTGATGTGATCAGTCAGTGGGTTAAAAGGGGATTACTGTGGGATGCAAGATTGATAAGTCAATTTCAGTCAATGTCAGTTTCCCTAAAGTGTTGCCTCCATCACCTTTTATCTTACAAGCAGAGAGGGGGAGGCCTGACAAGCACCAAGAAGAGCAGACAGTAGTAGACTTTGACCTTGGGACCCTGTGCTGAGAAACCCCTTCAGTCAGGGAAGGGTTGCTCTGAGACACTTGGGATCCTCCAGCACAGGGCCCGACGGAGACAGGACCTTCTCCTGGAGCTAGTGCCGTCGTGAGAGGACGTGGTTCTGTTGGCCTCAGCTGTCCACTGGCGGCAGCTCTGCTGTAGCAGCACTGGTGACTAGTGACCTTGCCCTTCACCGGAGGAGGCGGTGGCGGGCGTCCAGGGATGACAGAGGAAGGATAGCCCTTGTGCCCCAGCAGGAGGAAGGGCCTGGCTCACTTCTTGGCTGCAGCCCTCAGGTAACAGCCTTGGCCAGGCTTGCCAGGGAGGTGGCTGGCAGGTGGCCTGAAGAGTGGAAAATCACCCACTGGCCGCCTCTGGGCACAGAGCCACGGGGCCCAGGGCAGCCCCAGCATCCAGCCCAGCATCCACCCACACAGCAAGGTCCCCGAGCCAGCCACTTTGTCCCTTTTCTGGAATGGTCATACGCTCTGAGTACTTGAAAAGCCCTTGGATATCTCTGTCTCTCGGGCTCTTCCCTCATCCAAACAGAGCCTGCTATCCATCTCTGAGCTGATTTCTGAGGCCCTGTGATACACGCCCCTCTGGCAGCCGAATCCTCCCTCACAGGCTCATTTGTGGGGGCTCCCAGGCCCACCCCAGGATTCTGGTTTCCTAACCTGGCCTCATCTCCCAGGAGCCCTGTTCCTAGTTCCTGGAGGCCGAGTGGTGGGAGGAGGAAGATGGGTAGAAAGCTAGAAGATCGCCCAGGCTCTTATCTGTGGACGCTTCTGTTCTTGAGCTTCTGTGCAGAACGTGATGATAATTTAAAACATAATCTTTAATACATAAATGATACGGGAAGGTTTCAATGTGCCAGGAACTTCATGTGTTCATACTCCAGCCCTCACTGTAAGGCCATTAGCAGCGTCCTGCCCCTGCCCCCAGCCCCATGGAATCATCTTCAAATTGTACTAAAACATATAGGTAAGACATTGGACATTTCTGACATTTTCACATGTATGGTTCAGTGACCTCTTCCTTTGTTGTTATGTGCCATCAAGTTGGAGTGGACTCCCGGCTGTCCCTCCACTGGGTTTCCAGAAGCTGTCACTTGCGTGGGAGGAGATTGCCCGTTCTTCTCCCACAAAGCAGCTGGTGGAGTTGAACCTCCATTCGAGACGAATAAACTTGGGTTGGGAGAGGCGACCTCACTTTCCCAAAATTACAGTTTCAAGATCACACTGTAGAGCGGGGCTCCTGGGTCAAAGCAGAGCTGCTGAAACCCGACTTAGGCTAGGTGCTGAGGAAGTACTGGCAGTAATCTACGGCCGCGGCTCTCAAACTTGAGTGACCTTAAGAATCCTGGTGCTTTAAGGGCTGGTAGCTGTGTCCACACCCGGGTTTCTGATTCAGTCAGTGCAAATCAGAGTGGAATTCAGGAATCTGCAGCTCTAATAGGCCCTCGGCAATGCAGGCCCGGGAGTCATTTTGAGGTCCACCAGTCTAGACCATTAGGAACCTCTAGTGGTCAAGTGTTAAGAAGTTGCACTGCACATGGTTGGATCCACCATCAGCTCCTCAGCAGAAAGATGAACAGTCTCCTCCCTGGAGGGTCAACTGTGGGGCGGTTCTGACTCAGCAACACACAACAGTCCACGTCATTGCCTCTCAGCATGTGAGACAGCGCGCGCTAGGGAGACACAACAGAGTTTCAAGTGACACACAGCCTTGTAGGGGACAAAACACTTTCATCGGTTAGGACACAGCTAGCCCAGCAGACTTCTGTAGTGGCCCTCACGATCCCCCGGCTTACAGTTGTCTGGTGTTGCTGTGGTAGAAATGCTGTATGTAGATACCTTTTTTGTTTGTTTTCTTTAAATTTATTTTAGTGAGCGTTTACAGAGATTTTGGATTTCCATTCATTAATTGTTGTGTTTTTTCTCCCTGCTCACCCACCCCTCCCCCCCAGTTCGCTCTTCTCTTTGAAAAATAAAAATTCTTTGATTGATATACAATCCCCCCACCCCTCAAGTCCACTCCACTATGCAACCTTCATTCTGGACTCTTGTCATGACCATACTACCATGTGGATACTTTTCACAGACAAGTGTGTTTGCTCACAGTTTAGGGCACTATTGCTGTTAAGGGCCTTCACCTTGACTCCAGTTCATAGCAGCAGCTCTGTGAGCAGCAGGGCTAAGCCATCCCCAGTGCCGCAGCGTGCTCACATGTCCGCCTTGCTCCAGCCCCTCCCTGCAGTCCCTGTGTCCGTCCATCCTGTTGAGGATCTTCCTCTGGAGAGGCTTCTCTTTCTCTGACCCCCCATCATTCCAAGCCTGATGTACCTTTCCGAGAACTGACCCGTCCTGACAGCATAACCCAAGTGTGTGAGACAGTTTCCCATCCCTGCCCCTGGGGGGCACACTGGTGGTCCTCGCTGCAGGACACACTTGTTCGTCCTTTTGGCTGTTCATGGGGTGTCCAGGCCTCTTCTCCAGCGCCACGTCTTCTCCAGCGCCACAACTTAAAAGGCATTGACTCTTGTCGTCCATAGTCGTTCTCCAGCTCTCAGGTGCACATGGAAGTTAGGAGACTGGAAGTCCAAATTCAGGGTTCCTGCTCTAGAGGAGGAACCTCAGACGGTCCAGTGGGTAGGGAGTTGCACTGCCGACTTGAAGACAGGTGGCTCGAAACCCTCACTGTTTGTTGGGAGAAAAATGGGCATTCTCCTCGTGTGTGATTTACAGCCTAGGAAACCCCACTGGAGGATCTGCCGTGAGTGAGTTCTGACTCAACAGCAGTTAGGGAGGGAGTCAGGGAAGAAAAAGGATTTGAAACAGACTCAAGTGTAAAAAACAAACACAACCACCAACCAAACCCCACCCCCTCCCAAAAGTGATAGCACCTCAGGTTCTCAGGCCGCCATGTCTAACTTCTTGTTCAAAAGACCCAGTTTTGTGGTAAACTACTCGCAGGTTTTTTACGTGCTTTGCATAGAGGGGACCATTTTTGGGTTTGGGTTTTTTCCTTTTAATTTTGTGTTCCCACCCAATACGCATAGTGGGGTTTTGTGGTTTTTTTTTTGTTTGTTTGTTTGTTTTTTTTAGTGAGCATTTATTTGCACAATTACAACATGCGGACACACCCAGGAAGGAGGGACACCTGGGGTGACCAGGCCTCCTGTGATGGCGGCTGGGGCCACTAGTCCTCCCCGGAGGAATCTCTCTCAAGCGTGTAGACCATGAAGCAGGCGTCGGGTCTCTTGGGGACAAGGGGATGCCCTGGTCTCACAATCTCAAAGCCCAGAAAGCTGAAGGTCCGGAGCAAGGCGGCTCTGTCATCTCGGTTTTTATGGAAGCAGATGAAGACGTGGTCCACGCGGAGCTGCTCCTAGGCAAACTCAAGGAGAACTGCGAGACTGTCTTTGCTCCCGTCCGGCAGGGCACCACCTGGGAGGTCGACGTAGAGGCTGCTGCTGCGAGCACAGCCCTCCAGGTGATGTTTGGCATCTGTGAGCCTGGACTGGACATTAAAAATTCTCGTCTTGTCGTTAGACGCTAGTTCGTCTGTTAAATTCAGCCGATTATCAGAGTAAAATAAATTAGCTGAAAGATTGTGATCCCTCTGACTATTCCCTCGCCCACCTGGGATCTTCAGGGGTGGGTGAAGGGCATCAGGAGCACCACTGAGGACCTGGACCCAGGTTACTACAGCAATTGGAAGAGACCCTGGAACTCTCGCTGCTGTGGCCGCCGCGGCTGTGTAAGCTGAGGAGCGGCATGGTGCGGCTGGCGAGCACGGTGGCCCTGCGGTTATCCCCTTCTTTCTCTCTGGCGAAACAGGGACTGTTCAGGATCCGCTGCAGGGAGGATTTCACCATCCGGCCGCTCGGGTCCGAAACCAGCAAAACCTCCGCTGCGCCTTCTCCGTGCCGCCGCCGCTGCTCGCCTTTCGCAACACATAGTGGTTTTTGTATGACCATTCCCATACATTGTATCTTATAAAATTAATCATCATTCCTCTATGCCCACTATTACCCCAACTTTTCAGGTCCCCCCTGAATCTTACGTCCTTTACCTCCTCCCTCTGCCCCTCAAACTCTGCAGACCTGAGATTTCCCTCCCCCTTCCCCCCTCACCCGCAGACCCCCCTCCCCTTCCGTCTTTGGACATTTATACACATCTTCCTAGTTATCCTTCTGTTTTTACAGTGATGGTCTTACGCAGTATTTGTCCTTATGAGACTGAGTTAGTTCACTCAGCACAGTGCTCTCTACCTCATCCATATTAGAGAATATTTGTCAACATTTTTGCTCCTGAGTGCTGTGTAGTATTCCATCGTGGGAATGTACCAGTTTCTCAGTCTCATCTTTTGTTGACTTTCCTGGATCTGATCATTGATTTCACAGTCTACAAGCATCTCTGTGTTACGTCCGTGCCCTTTCATCTCTGTTGTTGTTGTCAAGTAAAACTCGAGCAGACACCCTCCCTCCATGTGCCCACAGGCCTGATGAGGATGTATTTTTGGGAACGAGACTGGTCATGGGGAAGCTCTGGTGGTGGTGTGGTCCTTGGGAATTGTGCTGCCAGCCCAGAGGCCACCAACTCTCAATGCGTTAGAATCCGTCTGTAGCTACAAGGGAGGAGGATGACGCGTTGTCTCCTCTCATGAGAGTCCCAGCCTTTGAAACACTGAAGCATCAGCTGCGAGTGGCTTTTGAGGCTGGTGGTGACCCTGCTTCTGCTGTCCCCCCCACCAGGAACATCGTGAAAGGCATGCGGGAGCTCCGGGAGGTGCTGCGGACGGTGGAGACCAAAGCGACACAGAACTTCAAAGTGGTAACGTGGCGGTGGCCCTGGGGCTGGCTCTTCCAGGGCGGGGGCCTCACCTGGTCTCCCATTCCTCCTCTGTGGGTGACACTGTTAACAATCTCAGCATGCTTTCCGCTCTGTGGTTTTTTAATCACAGCGTGACAGCGCCGTCCCCTAGCCTAGTAAGAGTTCTACCTTAAGTCTGTCCCTTCCCCGAGCAAAACCTCCCCCTCAGTCTTTGGGATGTTTGTGATTTCAAGAAGGAACCTTGGCTCTACTCTGCTGTCCTTGACTCAGGCCCTACGGCCGCTCCAAAACCAGAGCCACAGCTACCTTTCACGCTGGGGTTTCAGTCAGGTGTCGACGAGGCATCTGGCCTGCAGCTTGTCCTTTAATCTGAGTCTTCAAGGCCCTGCTTAGTACTAAGAGCATCGCTGGCCCCACGGGCTCAGGAGGAGCTGTCAGTGTGCCTCGTGTTGAGAGAAGAGAAAAGATTGAAGTGCAAAAAAGTGTCCCTTTAAGGTCACTAAGGACATGGGCAGATGCCGAGCGAACCAAGCTATGAAAGGGGTCTGGGGAGGGAAGTAGTGGGATTCCAAGGGGCCATGTGGTGCTGTGAGGGGCCCATGTGGCTCAGGAGGGTCTGACAAGGCCATGTGGTGCTGTGAGGGTCTGAGGGAGCCATGTGGTGCTGTGAGGGGCCCGTGTGGTGCTGTGAGGGTCTGAGGGGGCCATGTGGTGCTGCGAGGGGCCCGAGTGGCGCTGTGAGGGGCCCGTGTGGTGCTGTGAGGGTCTGAGGGGGCCATGTGGCCCTGTGAGGGTCTGAGTCGTTGTCCTTCTCCCCGCAGGTGGCAGCCAAGCACCTGGCGGGGGTCTTGCTGCACTCACTGAGTGAGGAGTGCTACTGGAGCCCCCTGTCCCAGCCCCTGCCCGAGTTCATGAGCAAGGAGGAGAGCTCCTTCGTCACCCAGGCCCTGCGCAAACCCCACCTCTACGACGGAGACAAGTAAGCCCCGCAGACTGGTTCCCCCTGCGGCCCTTTCTCCCTGTGGGGCTGGCCTCCTGTCACCACCCAGCTCCCTACCAGGCATGCCGGGTAGGATGGAGAAGGCAGCTCCCAGGGTGAAGGGAAATCATCCCATTCGAAGGTCAGGCTACTCATTCCGAGGATAACTGCTTTCCTGAAAGCTGCATTTAATACCCCTCGTCTCTTATTGCACTGATAACAACGCTGGGCAGAGCCGAGTCCTCGCAGGCGGGTCCCAGTCCTTGCTCCCACTTCCTGGAGCTGGGTAGGTGCTGGTCGACCTGGAGCCTCTCCTGTCCGTCTGCAGCAACCACCTTTCAGGCAACTGACTCCAGGCACCTTAAGAGCCACCGGCAGTCTCGCTGCCTGTGAATTATGCAGGAGAGGGTCACCTTACCAGGGCAGAAGGGCCAGGTGGCAGAGCCAGCAGGGCAGCTTTGTCATGTGTGTTGGAGCTGGGTGGTCATTTTTTTGTCTTTCAGCCTCTACTGCCCGAAGGACAACATTGAGGAAGCACTCCTGCTGCTCCTCATCAGCGAGTCCATGGTAAGCGCCCAGGGCCTGAGATCCCGTGGGCGGGATGAGGGCCGGGAGCACTGGCTGCTGGGTCCAGCCACAGCTCGACCTTGTGGCTGGGGACCTGCTGGGACTGGCTTCCATACAGGAGACGGGGCTCACCCGGGAGGTTTGGACCTGGACCTGCCACTCCCACAGCCTCCTCCGCAGGGGTGCCAGATGGTCCCCCGTAGTCGGTGCTGTGTGGTCAGTCCTGCACTGCGGGCTGCAGCAGACACAAGTGAAAAAATGGAGCTTGTTGTCTCTGGGGGCTCAGGGCAAGTCACTGACTTTCTGAGCCTCAGTTTCTCCACCTGTAAAATGGAAGTAACTCAGAAGTCATTGTGTCTGTTCATTGAATCCATTAATTCATTCAGTAGCTGTTTGCAGAGACTCAGGCAGCACTGAGAAACCTCACTGCAAAGGAGGGGGGCAATACTTGCTGTGGTTAAGTGTCTTCTAGTTGACTGAGACTCATAGTGACAACGTGAACAACATAGTCACATGAACTCACATGACAACATGAACTGGTAGTGACTGAACGACAGGTCTGAACCCCGCCCCGTCCTGCGTCATCCCCGCTGTCCCCGATATGCGCGTGTGTAGTTACCGTCAGTCCATCTGTTTGAGGGTTTCCCCCTCTTTCTCTGACCCTCCCCAACATGATGTTCCCCAGGAACTGGTGCCTCTTAACAACATGCCTGAGGAGGACACTGGTTACATTTCTCCCAGGACTAAATTTTCAAAGAATCCTCTTCTTGGACCAGCTAGATTTTTTTCCATTTCTAAATTACTGAACTGTGGCATTAAAAATACATGTGAAAGCAAGCTGTACGATGCGACACCGTTTCTCTCATGTAGGAAAGGTGTTGCTGTGAGTGTCAGGCTTCCTGGAATGGAAAGAGTGAAGGCCGAGTGTGGGAGGAGGCAGCCTGGCCCTTTGTGAAAGTGGGGGTCCCTGTAGGTCAGTACATCTGAGCATCTGACGACTTGAATCTTCAGGTTGCCCCTCACAACCTCAGCGGCCTTGCAAAGTGTCTCACCTCCCTGAGCCTCAGTTTCCACATCTGTAAATGGGGCTGATGGGGCCCCTCATGCAGGAGTTGGATGGAAAAACTACGAAAGCAAGTGTCAGGGTGCCTGGTTAGATACGGTGGATGCACCATGCTTTTGCAGTTTATCCCGAGAAACACCTGTTCTGTCTGAGTCATTTCTAAAACGATCAGGTTCAGATTTGGCTAAGAGAAAAATGGCTTGAGGATACCAGTTGGTTTTATTTTTTTAAAAAAAGCATGAGCTGGCTTGATTCCAATGGGGAGTCAGCAGATGAGCACAGCTTGTCCCGGCTTTTGGCACCTGATATGTTCCTAGTTCTGAAAGGTCTAATCTGGGCTCAGCTCAGATTGCTCCAAGAACCACACTCGGGAGTGGGAGGGCTGTGGTTCTGGTGTTGCAGGAGAGTGGGGGGCTGCAAGGATATGGGGCACATCCCAGGGCCTGTTACTTATGCCTCTGTGACTGGCAGCTCGAGAGCCGGTGCTGATTGTATCTCCTGGGGCTACTGGCGGCTGGGGTTTCTGATGGCAGAAATGAGCATCTCAGAGCCCTGGGAGGTGGGGAGGCCTTCTCGGGCTCCAGTGCCGCCAGGAGCTGTGAACGCCGTGGATGGTGGTGATTTGCAGGTCTGGAGGCTGCTCCTGTGTTTGGATGTAAAAGCCTGGGCCTGGGCTTCATCTTTACATGAAGATTCTTTAGTCCTGGGTTTCCAGTGGCCAAGATGGAGCTGCGTTGTGAGGGCAGACTGCCCGGCCCTAGTTGGATCTCAGTACCTGTCCTCCCTAGCCTCTCTCAGCCTCCTCATCAGTCACATAGGAAAGATGGATGTGAAACCAAGCTGAGCCCACGGGCCCCTGTCCATCAAAGGCAGGCAGCACTGCTAATACCAGGCTCTGGGAAACAGAGTGAAAGCCTGGCGTGGAATGAGAGGGGCAGTGTCCCTGGAAGAACTGTGAGATGCCACAAAACGGAAAATTCTCGCCACTAGGTCAACAGGTAACATTGTTATAGATGAATGAAAGATGCATATTACTTGGATCCACATTCACCTCCCGTAGGAACCACAGTCAAGGGATCAGAAGATAGTTGGCATTGGAGAAATCTGTGGTCCGTGACCTCTTTAAAGTACTAAAGAGCAAGGATGTCAGTTTAAAGACTAAGGTGTGTCTTATCCAAGCCATAGTATTTTCATTCATTTCCTGTGCGTCTTAAAGTTGGACAATGAGTAAGGATAACAGAATTGATGTCTTTGAGTTGTAGTGTTAGAGAAGAGTGCTAAATATTCCATGGACCGCCAAAACCCCAAATCTGTCACGGAGGAAGTGCAACCAGGGAGCTCCTGAAAGGCAAGGATGGTGAGACTTGATGACATATACGTGGGCTTGTCGTCAGAAGGGCCAGTCCTTGGAAAAAGACATCGTGCTGGGGAAGGGGGAGGGCCAGGGAAAGAGGAAGACCCTCCACAGGGTGGACTGACCCAGTGACGGTTGACCATGGTCTCAGTGGTGGCAGGGATCGTGCAGGACAGGGCGGGGTCCAGATCTGGTGTTCACAGAGTCTCTGATTCTTAGTTGCCTCAATAGCACCCAGCAACAGCATCTTGCAAATTGTTCTACATCATTAGCTCCCTGCCCGCCTTATAGTTGGAGCCCCGAGTGTGTTCAGGACCAGACTAAGGGCCAAGCCAGGAGAAGGCCAGTGCTGTCCATCCACACACGAGAGGCGCCCAGAGCCAAGCTCGTGCCTGACTGGGCTGGAGAAAGAGCTGGCAAAGGGGCCCCGGGGCAGTGAGAGCAGAGCCACTGCTCCCTGCAATCTTGTGCTAGTTCACAAGGCTGGCTGCTTGCCTGGGAGGACGGTCAGTGCTTTCCTCCCTGCACCACTGCTGGGTGACTGTGAGGCCAGATGAGAGGCTGGACATGAAGGCTCAGCACAGCACACTTTCAGGACCTCAGGGGTCCCTGCGTGAACTCCAGGATCAAGTGCATGGGTTACAAGAGTCTGTGAACAGTGCATCCTTTGATAGGCGGCTTGGAGGTGGGCACGAGAGCTATGGCAGAGTCCACCAGGCTAGGAGAAATCAGGGAGGAACGCCCTGCCTTTATTCCAGCGATAGTGGGGAAGAAATCTCTGGATGATATAAATAGTTAAGTGTTTGTTAACCAAAAGGATGGCAGTTTGATCCTACCCAGAGATGGCCTGGACCTCATGATCTGCCCCTAAAATCCTAGCCCTGAAAATCCAATGGAGCGCGAATGGACCAATGACACTAAGTGAGGGAGACAAGAGGGTGAGGCTATCTAATACAGGCGTGTGGCTTGAAGAGACAGGGGCACCCAGTTTGCCTCCACGGAGGATCAGGAAGATTTCCGAGCAAAGAAGTCCTTAACTCTGCGTCATCGAGTTGGAACTGACTCACAGCTGACCTTCCAGCGGGTTCTCAGGCTGTAAATCACACAAAAGGAGATTGCCCATCTTCTCTCAGGGAGCTGGTGGGTTGGAACTACTTGCCTTTGGGTTGACAGTGCAACTCCTTATCCAGCAAGCCACCAGAGCGCCCTATTTAAATGGTGGAGATAGAGAAGTGTGACAAGGACAAAGGGGGTGGCCTGGACAGTGGGGCAGTGTCTGCAGCATTGTCAGTGGCTGTCAACCCTGCTGGGCCAATCTTGCTGCCCACATAGCGTCCTCCTTTCTGGCCTGGCCCCCACCCCGCCCTGTTGCCATTGTTCACAGCTGCTGTCCAGTCACCTCCTGGGAGCAGGTGTTCCCTGGGAGGTGTTCCTGGTAGCGGCCCTGCCCCCAAACCATGTTCACCCCAGGAAGTCTTAGGCTGTCCTGTGCAGAGACCCATAGGCCACTCCTCATCCAGGCGGAGACGCTGCCCCCAGTCCATCTCCTGCTCCTGATCTTGCAACCTAATTAGGACCCTGTTCTGGAAGGCCTCTCCTTCCTGACCCACCTTTTCAGATGCCCTGTCCACTTCCAGGTCAAGGTCTCTGATGGACCAGGGAAGGTTCCTCACATGCCACTTGCCCCACCAGTGCAGGTGGGGTGCAGTTCTTTGTCTGCATGATGCACTGTCCCAAGGTTGGAAGCTTAGAGATGCTCAGTTCACTGCCACAGTCCCTGTCCTTGAGAACTGGGACACCAGCCAGCGTGTCCAGGCACAGAGATGCATGTCCTGGGAATCGGGAGAGGACACCTTGGCCTGGCTGAGATGCAGAGTAGGGGGAGGAACTGAAGGGAGGCTTGGTCTGAGTTGTGAGGGACCAGAAGGTGCTGCAGAGAGCTCCGTGTGGTGGGGGGGCGTGCAGTGAGACCGGGGCCTGATGGTCCAGGGCAACCAGAAACAGGAGTCAGACTTTTCCTGATGGTTTGGGCAGGGGCTGGTGGAGAGGTGAGACTCGGGGGGAGATTGCTCACCACTCTCCATCCCTGACAAGGGGGCATGCACATGGCTGGCCCCTAGAGCCCACCCAGCCCTGCCCATTTCCTATCATGTGTCTGACTCTCCCTTAACCAAAATCCAAAGCCAGATTCCCCCTCAGATATGTGGCTGTTGCTCTGAAGCCCTCCTCAGGGGTTTTTCTCCTCGTCTTCTCCCACGGCACGTGTGGGGAGGGGAGGGAGGGCTTCCCTGGACACCTGGGTGCAGAGTAGCTCCTGCCCAGCTCCTCCTTGGCACGGCGTCCCTCCCTCCCTGTCGGTGCCTGTGTGGGGGGACGGCACAGGGAACGAGGGGGATTCTCTGGCACGTTCCCTGCCTGCCTCCTCGCTCTTGACCCTTGCAGCGCTGGCTAGCTCTTGTTTACCAGGCAGCTCACCCTCTCCTGAGGCTGTGGGGGTCCGTGAGCGGGGTGGGGCCACTGTCTGCTCAGGACCCACAGCTCCCCGCCTCGTCCCTCTGCTCTTTCCACTCAGTGACCCTCTGATTCCTGTAGCTCCCTCTCCTCCGTCTCCCCTCTCTATCTTCTTCCTGAGCCTCAGTGTGTCGCTGGGGTGGTGAGATGATCAGGGAATGTGACTTCACCCTACAGACCACAAAACACCCTACAGTCTGTGATGGTGGGGTCTCAGGATTCCTGACACGTCATCTCCCCCTCTTTGAACTGTGCAGAATCGCCCACTTACTGCATACTCCCCCCTCCCTTCCTGAGCAGTCATCTGGCCCCTTTGCGCTCCTGAAGTTCTGGCGCTGGGTGCCAAGTATGGAGGCCTGGAGTTTGGGATGAGTTCTTTGGGGAGGGGAGTTCCGAGGTGGTTGCATTAGGGAAATCTGCTGTCCAGGACAGCAAAGATGTCATTTTAAAAACAGTGTGCACCTGACCCAAGCCATGGTAGTTTTCAGTTGGTTCCTATGCATCTGAAAGGCAGACAGTGACTAAGGAGGACTGGGAAGAATTGATGCCTTTGAGAGAGGATGATTGGCAAAAGAACAAACAAATCTGTCTTTGGGGAATCAACTGGATGCCTGTTAGAGGCAAGGGTGGTGAAACTTGGTCTCACATACTTTGGGCATGTTGTCAGGAGGGACTGATTGCTTGGGAAAAGACATTCTATTGAGGAAAGTAAAAAAAGGTCAGTGAAATAGAGGAAGACCCTCAACAAGACAGGTTGACAGAATGACTAACAGTGGACTCGTATATCGGAGATGGTGAGGTTAGTACGGGACAGGACTGTAGTATGGTTCAGATCTGTTGTTGCCAGATCGAGGGCTGCTTTGAGTTATAGTTAAATAACAGCACCCACCAACAGCAGAAGTGAGGTGAAGGAGGGAAGGGGCGTAGAGAGGGTTGCTTGTGAAAGAGGCTGGGTAGGGGGCTGCAAGAGGGTGGCCCTGCGTCCTGTGAGCCAAACAGCAGAGCCACCTGCCCTACCTGGGCCTGACGGTGTCATATTTACCAGGTCTTCTTGCTGTTTGTGGACAGTTCTAAACACCTAAGAAACAGTGTTCTTCTTAAAGACACTAATGCTGGGAAAAACGGAGAAAGACAGGATCTCGACATGAGCCTTGAATCAGCGCTGGAATACGAGTCCCTGTTTTAAAGGGCGCTGTTGGCTGAGATGGTGAAGTGAGAACATGGGCTAGAACGCTAATACTGTCTATACTAGTAATGATAATGCTGTGATGCCTGAATGCCGTGTTGCTAGTTTGGATCCCAAAGGAACGCTGCTGGCAGAAGGTCTGAGTGTGAGGCTTCCAACCAGAAAGTCATTGGTTCGAGCCCACCAACTGCTCTGTGGAAGAAATGCCCCGGCTCTCTGTTCCCATCAATATTGCAGCATGGACAACCCATGGAGCTGTTTTTCCTAAGGCACATGGGGTCGCTGCAAGGTGGAAGTCACAGCAGTGGCTATTTTTGTTGTTGTTTCCAGGAGAGAATGTTCTTTTCTTTTTAGAGACAGAAGGCTGCGTTGCTTGTCACTTCCTTCCAAACACTGTTGTTCATTATCATTGAGTTGAAACCGACTCGCTGACCCTTCAGCAAGTTTCAGAAGCTGTAAAAACACTGGAGGAGTTTGTCTTTGGGTTGGGAGTGCAACTGTTGACCTCCAGACCACTGTGTCGTGGTTTAGTATCATCAAGTCAGAACCGACCTAAAGCTCACCCACCAGAGAGTTTTCAGAGGCAATAAATTTGCATGTGTGAAGATTGCCTATCTTTCTCCTGCAAACAACTGTGGATTTGAACCATGTGCCTTTGGGTTGGCAGCACAGTTCCTTACCGTAGAGGTACCACAGCTCCCTGGCACGAGACCACCCTAGCAAAATGATATGATCCACATCCACTGCAGCACGTCCCTTCCTCCTTGTGGGGACCCTCCATCGGGTTTCTGGAGCTCTCAGCTGTTAGGGGAACAGCTCGCCTCATCTTTCCCTCTGAGAGCACCTGGTGGATTTGAACCACCACCCTTTTGGTAAGCAGCTCAATATGTTACACCACCACAGTGCTTCCATGGTACTCACTTCATGGGGGATGCTGGTGGCCTAGTCCAAGGAAAGGGGTTTGGATCCATCAGCTGCTCCAAGGGAGAAGTAAAGGCAGCCTCTTCCCGTGCAGTTTACAGCCTCCGAAACCCACCACAAGGCCTGCTGTGAGTTGACCATGGACAGCGACGAGTTGAGCTTGAGTATACGTTATTATAGTAATATCATATATGGGGAGGGGAGGGCTGGACGGGGAGAGAAGTGCAGCAATGAATGAATGGAATGACAAAATCTCTGTAAATGCTCATTAAAATTATTTTTTAAAAATATTATATATGACATATAGAAAGAGGTAAAACAAATGTGATCATTAACAATTGATGGCTCTGGTTGAAGGGACTGTGGTTATCTTATTCTTGCGACTTTTTTATAGGCTTGGACTCTATAAAGTAATGAGTACCAGGGAACTTGAACCCTTTGAACCGTAGCCCCATCCTGCCCTGCCCTGGACTGCAGGGACCATCCCTTGCAAAAGAAGAATGAGTGGAGGGGGAGCTGGTGTGAGAGGAGGAGGTTCGCTGTCTGTGGGGGTAGCCCCTTCGCTGGCCTGAGTCCCTGGAGATGGTCAGTGGTGACTGGACCAGGGAGGGGACTTGCAGATAGACACCAGCTTGTTTTCCATCTCCTCTTTGTCCTAAACCCTGTCCCTTCCACAGGCCACTCGGGACGTGGTGCTGAGCCGGACGCCGGAGCAGAAGGAGGACCGGACAGTGAGCCTACAGAACGCAGCGACCATCTACGATCTCCTGAGCATCACGCTGGGCAGGCGGGGCCAGTACGTCATGCTCTCCGAGGTACCGCGGGCTCCCACCGCCCTCCCTGGAGTCACGTAGCACAGAGAAGCAGAGCCCGTCTCTGTCTTGATCCGTTGCTGAGAGGACACTGGTGTGTGCAGTGGTCGTCATCTGGCACAGTTCTGAGCTAGAGTGTGTGGGGACTGGGACCTGGTTGGCATCCACACTATGTACAGGACCCTCGTTTTGTCTGCACCTCCCTCGGGTGGGTGCACCCCTCCTATTCCTGCCCCCAGAGCACAGTGACCTTGTGTCCTTAAGAGAAAAATGGGCCTAACCCTTGAGAGTGGCCTCTGCCATGTGAATGGTGGGAGGGGCTTCTTAAAGGAAGGTCGATGACATACCTACCAAACTGGGCTTTCTCATCTATAAAATGAAGGCATTGGACAGCCTGCCTGCCAGAATCGGTGGGAGAATGAAATGAGTTAGTATGTGTCAAAAGCTTAGACTTTGTATAGTAATAATAAATGATAGCAAGGTATGTCGGAGATGGGGAAGTTGGCTCAGGATAGGGCATGGTTCACAGCCGTTGTTCACAGGGTTGCTAGGAGTCATTGTTGACTCAGTGACACATAGTAATACCAACAGGATTGTTGAAGATTGAAACTGTCAATGATTTCATCTTACTTGGATCCACAGTCAACGCCAGCAGTGAAGAGATCAAATGACATATATCACATTGGGAAAGTCTGCTGTCAGGGACCCCTCCAAAGTGTTGTAGAGCCAGAAAGTCCGTTTAAAGAGTAAGACAAGCCCTATCCAACTCAGTGTCTTTTCCGTGACCTCCTGTGCTTCTGAAAGCTGGGCCGTGATGTAAGGATGACAGGAGAATTGATGCCTGTGAGTTGTGCTGGAGAATATTGCATATCCATAGACTACCAATTGGACAGACAGGTCTGGCTCGGCCAAAGCGTGACCGGGGTGTTCCTTGGAAGCGAGGATGAGGAAGCTTCACTTCACATACGTTGGGCGTGGTGTTAGGCAGGACCAGGCTTTGGAGAAGGAGATCCTGCTTGGAAAGGGAGAGGTTCATTGTGGGAGAAGACGACCTTCAACAAGATAGATTAACACGGTGACTATAACAGTGGTCTCGGGTGTGTCAGAGATGGTGAGGATGGCACAAGGCAGAACGTGGCTCAGAGCTGCTGTTCACAGGGTTGCTGTGCGTCATGGTTGACAGTACGTAACAACCACAGCGGTGTTGGCTTGATGTTGAATATTGGTTTAGTGACGCGGAGTTTTGTTTTCATGATGTTGAGCTGTAACCCATATTGAAGGCTGTAGTCTTTGATCTTTTGCTGTAAGTATTTCAAGTCTTACTTTCTACAAACTGTGCCATGGGTCTGGCGCTTCTTAGTCTTTAAGAAGACATCCGTGCTCTATAGTACTTTAAAGTGGTCCTCGATAGCTGACTTGCCCCATGCAACACACCTTTTGACTTCTTGAGGGCTGCTACCAAATTTGGAAGCAAACAAAATGAAATCCTTGACAAGTAAAATTAAACTGCTGACAACTTCAAAGACTAAGAAGCACCAGACCCAAGTCATAGTATTTTTGTTTGTTTCTTATACATCTGAAAATTAGGAATAAGGAAGACTTGATGTCTTTGAATTGTGGTCTTGGCAAAGAGTACTGACTGTCCCTGCACTGCCAAAAGAATAACCAAAAACCAAATTTGTCTTGGAGCAAATGCTACCAGGGTACTCTTGGCGGCAAGCACGGTGAAACTTGGTTTCACGAACTATGAGCATATTGTTAGGAGGGGCCAGTCTTGGAAAAAGACATCATGCTGGGAAATGTGAGAGAAAGACCCTTGACAAGGTGGATTGACACAGCAGTTAGAACGGTGAGCTGAGTGTGTCAGCAATGGTATGGATGAGGCAAGAAAAGGCAAGATTCACATATGTTATTCAGAGTTTTGCATAGGGTCTACTCGACGGCACCTAACAACGACAGTGAGATTCTTATTGATAGTCTGAGTTTTGAAATCTTAACTTGATATACTCTTCACAACACCGTCATCATTCATAGGTCAGGAAGTAGAGAGAGACCAAGGACCAGAGAGGGTGAGTGACTTACACATGGTCACACAGCGTGGCAGGGCAGGACAGGGTTTCTCCTGGAGTTTTCTGTCAGCAGCGAGAGCGGACTTCCTGATGCCTCCTGTGGGCAGTGATGTGGACAGGGCCAGAGCACCCATGGTGGGGAAGCACTGAACTTTCTCTCCCTCTGCAGTGCCTGGAGCGAGCCCTGAAGTTTGCCTTTGGGGAGTTTCACCTTTGGTACCAGGTCGCCCTGTCCATGGTGGCTTGTGGGAAGGTAAGGCCGAGGGAGATGCTGGGAGTTGCGTGTAGAACTTCTGTCATTCTGCAGGTGGGCAGAGGGCCTTACCTGTATCACAGGGCGGGCAGCAGGGGAGGCAGGTGATTCACAGTGTTCTCCACCACCTCCCTTGAATTCCCCACATTGAGAAGGTACCTGAGTTACAGGTGTGTATGAGTGTGGTCCTTGGGTGTGTTCCTGTGAGTGCATATACAGGGGCACCGTCTGTGTGAATCTTTGGGTACCTCTGCTGGAGACAGTGATGGCCAGTGCACGACTGGGTGCCAGCTGAGGGGCTTGTTCCCTCCTCCCCCTAGAGTGGTGTCAGGGACTGAGAACATCCCCGGGTACACAGGACCTGGCTAGGAGGGAAGGGCAAAGAAGAAGAGTCAAACGAGGCAGTTTGAAGGACAGAGTGATGGACGAGGTGGGAGGACCGTGGGAAAGGACCGGGTCAGGAGGCATCCTGCATGAAAGAAGATGTCCAGGGCCAACACGTTTCCGTGAGCCACACCTCCGGTTCTAGCTCCCCTTGGTTTTCCCTCTGTTGAGCATCACACTTACATAAGGCTCTGTTTTGAACAGTGACGTGAGGAAAGCCTTTCCAGGATTGGGTCTTGAGAGTATTGGGGCTGAGGCTGCTGGGAAGCCGGGAGAGAAGAGGGCCCCAGCCTGCCAACTGCTTCAGGGGCTGTGAGTGCTCTGAGCCCGGGCCCTCTGTGCGGTCTCCCTCCAAGGAGAATCGCCCTGGGCTTGGCAGCATGTGTTCTCAGTGGACGCTGTGCCAGAGCCAGGACTAGGTCCTACTGGGAGGAAAGGCGGGCAGGTCGGCTAATGGAGGGACTGAGGATGTCCAGCGCACAGTGAGAGGGCGTTGCCAGGCCTGCTGCCCTTCCCCCTCACATCCTAAAGTCACAGCAGCATCTACCCGTGGGTGGCACTCCACCTCGTCTCCTTGAAAGACTGAGAGGATTCAGAACACAGATAGGACCCTGGCCCTCATGTGTTAGCAAGTGAGAGGACCCCATGAGGGCGAGGGGACACAGGGAGAGCAAAGAAGGAGGAGGAGGGGAGAGGTGAGCTGTGGTGGGCCGAGCAGGAGACTGAGGGAAGAGGAGAGCTTGCCGGGAGTCTGGGCCCACAGCCCACAGCAGCAGCTGGCAGCCTTCCGCTTCCAGGAGCAGAGGAAGTGCCTCGAGTTTTATAAAACTATCGCAGAGCAGGCAGGTGCACAGAAGGGTGGTTTTATACCCTTTTCTGGCTCACAGGCCCTGTCAGGCTTGGGCAAGCTGGAGACCTCACCTCAGAAAAAAGGCCCCCCCACACACAAGTGAAGTTGAAGGAGAAGGCAGTGTCACAGCCTGCAGAGTCTCAGTAAGGCTCGGAGAGCTTGGGACACGGGGCCCAAGAGCTGGTGTCGTGCCAGGCCCACCCAGACCCGCGGTTCACAGAGAAAAATGAACCATTCTGGGTATTTCTTTCAGTCTCTGTTGAGTCAGTTCCTACTCACAGTGACTCCATACGTGTGAAAGTAGAACGGTGCCCTCAAAACTCAACTCCTTGCCCCTCAGTTGAAGGTGACTCATAGCCGACCCTCCATCGGGTTTCCAGAGGCTGTAAATTGAAGGAGAGGAGTTTGCTCTCTTCCTCCCTCAAGAGCTTCTGGTGGATTTGAACCTCCGCACTTTGTGTTGGTTTTGCCGCTTCCTGCTGCCTAGGCCGCTGGGTCTCAGTGGCTGATTTTTTTAGGATTCAGTCACTAGGTCTGTCTTCCAGAAGAGCCTGTGAGTAGACTCAAGCCTTCAACCTTTTGATTAGCCGCTCACTGAAACTTTGCCCCACTGAGGGGCTCCCTTCTATCTCGGGTGGGCATAGCAGTGGGCTCACGTGGTGGAGACACTGGGTAATGCCCCCTCTGCGCCCTCAGCGCATCCAGAGGTGGTTCTGGAAGCTGCCATCTCAGAACTCTGCACCAAATCCGTTCTCCCGGTTGTCCCAGGAGTCTGCTGAGAAGAGTGGGCGCATTTTACCAGCAGCCAGCAGTGGGGTCCCTGGGGCTGTACCTGCTTGTGCTCACGAGGGGTTGCTTTTGAGGTGAACTGACGTGACTGTGTCTCACCCTGCAGGCATAACGAGAAGGTTCCATGACATAATTTAAGTTGTTCCTTCTCTCCAGCTCCTCAAAAAAGCATGGGCTGCGTTGCTAGGTGACTAGCATGACCGAAAAAAAGAGCTGGCTGCAGCTCCAACTGCCGAGTCCTCAGATGGCCCCTTAAATAGCTCTGGGTTTGGTCTTTGTGGAGGTGGGGAGGTGAGGGGGTGGATGTGCAGGAATGGGGTTGAGAGGCCTGTATTTCCTGGATCCCAGGCGAGGATCTGAGGTGTGAAGTATGCTGAGGTGTGTGGATGGAGGGGCCTTGGAGTGGGGCCCTGGGAGCCCCTCATACCACCTCCTTCTTCCTTAATTATTCACCGCCCTCCCTTAACCTCCTCACATGGGGAGTATATGACGGCAGTGAGTTTAGTTTGGGGGTTTATCTTCTGAGGGAACTCTCATGATGCTGCAGTTAAGGTTTTCAGCCACTCACCGTAAAGTGAGTGGTTGGAACCCACCAGCCGCTCTGTGTGAGAGAGCAGAGGCAGGCTGCTCTGTGGAGATTTACAGCCTCACAGACCCTGAATGGGAGTTCCACTCCGCCCCACAATGTCTGTGTGAGTTGGTATTGACTGACTTATCGGCAGTGGGTTGGATTTTTTTATTTCCTGAGAGGAACCCTGGTGGCTTTGTGATGTAAGCATTGAGCTGCTAACTGAAAAATGTGTGGTTCAAACCAACCAGCCGCTTCATCAGACAAAAATGAAGCGATCTGTTTCTGTAAGGATCTGTGACCTTACAAACCCTTAGGGACGATTTTACTCTGTTGGGTAACTGTAGGGTCAGAACTGACGGGACAGCTGTGGAGTTTGTTTCCTGAGAGAGCCACAAGAAAAGATGGACTTTGTCGTCTCACCAGTCTGTCCTTTTGAACAAGAACCATGACTTTTGCTGCCTTCTGTGGTGATTCCACAGCTGTTAGCCTGGTGCTGAGCTTCAAGCAGGCCCTTGGGATAGACCCCAGGGGTGGCAGTACGAACTGGAACAGGCCAGAGAGAGAGAGAGTGTGTGTGTGTGTGTGTGTGTGTATACGTACACACATGTGTATAGCAGGAAGGAGAGGGCTTCTCTCTGAACAGAGTCCTCACAGAAGCAGCAGAAGGGAATGTTTAAAGTCACACTATTTAGAGCCAGGCTCCATTCAAATGCCATTTGAGCCTTATGCCTTGCCTGAGTTCATATAGTATGTCAGTTTCCTCATTTGCAAAGTAGGGGCTTCCTACCTACCTCTTAGGAGAGCCGTGAAGATTTAAATGACCTGATAGTTGTAAAACATGGAGAACAGAAATCAGCTAGCTTTTCTCACCTGGATAGTAAACATTCACACACACACACACACACACACTTTCTGAGCTGTATGGTTTCTGTTAAACCTAATCATTCTATTGTATTGTGAAAGCTGCCAGAGATAGGTGTTGATGAATGGGTTTCAGTAAAACTTTATTAATAAAACTAGTCACAGGGCGAGCTTTATTTTTCTGCTTCTCACTATTGTTGCCAGTACTCTCTGCTTCCATGTTTTCCGTCCACACTTGGCCTTCCTCGCAGGCCCACTTTGGACCCATTTCCACAAATGAGTCCAAGAGTATTAAATTCAAGGTTAGAGAGAGTCCCTTTCTCCCTCTGCATGTTCTGCACGTTAGACCCAAACTCCTTTTGAAGAACTTCTTTCTTTTGTTACGTTACCAGCTCCTCAAATCACTCAAGGGCCAGGCCCACAGCTTCCATTCAGCTGAGAGGGAAGCTGAGATCCCCAGGACTTGACCTGAACTCACGTGTCACGGTGTCTGCTGACTCTGGAGGGAAGGGGGTACACTGGCTGTGTGCGGAGGTGACCTGGGGTAGTATGTGACTGTCTCCTGCCCTCCCTTCTGCAGTCAGCCTACGCTGTGTCCCTGCTTCGAGAGTGTGTGAAGCTGCGGCCCACTGACCCCACTGTGCCCCTGATGGCTGCCAAGGTCTGCATCGGGTCCCTGCACTGGGTGAGTGAGCTACAGGGGCGCGCCAGGAACGTGGAGGCAGGGGTGTGGCTGTGGGTGTGCACACGCGGGGGGTGGGGTGTCTATTGGCAGGGCTGCACGAGTGAGGGAGCCTTGGGTTACACAGCAGGACTTGGGGTCAAGGGAATGGCTTCTGAGGAGAACTCTCCTCTCGGAATCTGTGGCACATCCCCCGACTCAGGATGGTTTGTGATTCTCTGGCTCTGGAGAATCAGTGTGGGACCGATAGAGGGGTCCACACCTGCCCAGCAGAGTGCAGCAAGCAAGTGGACCAGACTGTTGTCAGGGCTTTAGGAAACCTAACATTTGGTGCATGCGGCCCCACAAGGTGATCCTGTGGGGTCAGAACCATCTCTGGGCTTGTCTGTCCGGCCCTCGACTTCCTCCTGGCCTCACCGGCCCTCACTCTCACTAGTCCCCTGCGCCTTGTCTGCCCCTTGTCTTACCGAGGCAGCTGAGCTGGTCAGAAGTAAGAGCTGAGAGGGTGGCTTCCCGGGCAGCAGCCTTCCCCACAAGCTTCCACCACCCCTCCCCCAGAGACCAGCAGGCATTGGACTGGGAGTCCCGAGCCCCTTGTATGGTCCACGTGCCACAGGGCTTCCCTGGGCTGCCGCTCTGGGCTTGTGGGGAGTGCTTGGTCCCAGAGATGGTCAAGTAGCACTTTGGATGGCAATTGAGGGCCCGGCTGGAGCCTCTGAACACCTCCTGTGACTGGGAGCCCTCTTCTGACAGCCTTGCCCTCCTTAAGTCCACGGTGGCCTCCCGAGGTTAGGGGTGATCCCACCATTGGAGGGCTCAGAACAAGTGCATCACGTCTTCTTCCAAGTGGCTCTCAGCCACCACTCCCACATCTCTCCTTTGGGCTGTTGGGCCCAGGGACCCCAGAGATGGCTTGCTCTGGAGATAGCCCTCCCCAGCTCCCAGTGCTCCTGGTCCGTCAGCCGCCTGGCATGTGCATTCAGCAGACGCTTCATAATTAGCAGTCTTTACTGTCCTTCCAGCCTCTCCTCCCTCCTTGGGTGGCTGGTAGCTCGAGGAAGGGAGTGACCAGCCCCGATTGGTAACGATGTTCTAACCCAGCCAGCACCTTCCCCCTGGGTCCAGCCTTTTCATCCTAGGGGTCTGGGGTTTCACTAACACAGAGAAGGAGTGTAGCTGAGCAATAGTGTGTCTTCCTCTTTTCTCTGGCCATTGGCTTTCTGGTGTATTTGAAGAGCTTGCCCAGTGTGTGGATGGTCCAGGATGGGGACAAGCATGGTCTCTGGCTCCCAGGCTTCCATGCTAGAATGCCCTACTAGGTGGTTGTTGTTTGGTGCCATCGGGTCGTAGACGACTCATAGCGACCCTATGAACGAACGGCCTGAGCACTGTTCGTACATAGAGTTTCCGGAGGCAAGCCATTTCAGAAGTGGATGCCATTCCTGCTTCCAGGCTTGTTTTAGTCGGGAAGTTCCAGCCAACACTGTCCACCACGGGTACCCATTACCACGATTGGCACATCACTGTCACAGTCTTCAGCATCACAGCAACCACGAGTTAACCTCTGTACAGCAACGCACAGACAAGTGCTGTACCACCTAGAAGAATGTTTGACAGGAAGACAAATTAAACCTGGCCGAGGGCCGCAGAGGAGAATCACCCACCGTCGGCTTGGTAGCATAACTTCCTTTCCACTAGGTCAAGGTAGCTCTCTCTGTGTCGTCGTCGGTGTTATTGTTGTTTGGTGCTGTGGAGTCGTAGACGACTCATAGCGACCCTATGAACGAATGGCCTGAGCACTGTTGATAAGAGTTTCTGGAGACAAGCCATTTCGGAAGTGGATGTCGCTCCTGCTTCCAGGCATTACTAGGTTAGGGGAGAGAATTATATGAGATATTAATTTCAGGACCAGTCCCTTAATGGGCTCTAGATGTTTAAAAAAGCCACATGGCTGGGCCATACAGGTGGTCTTGGTAAGATACTTAATCTTCTGTCACCTCAACTGTCAAATGGAATTGATAATAGTATCTTCCATGGACTTGACACGCGTTTGGGGAGTGTTGGTGTAGTCAGGGAGGGCTTCCTGGAGTGGGGAGGAGGCCCTGAGCTTTGAAAGCTCAGTCCCAGCTTGCTTTCTTCCTTCATTTTCAGTGGGAACTCCCTTGTTTATAAAAGAAGGTTCTTGGCATCTTATAGTATAGAGGTAGGGTTGCTGTGAATATACCCTGTGGGTAGAGGTGGCATGTGGGTGTTGGTGGAGACCGAGGCTGTCGCTGTGAGCAGAAGGGTGAAGAGAGGACAGCCTCGCAGGCCCCTGCTGGCTCCAGGGCTTCTGGAGGGTCCCCACCCATCACTTCGAGGAAGCCCAAAATACCATCTTGCCGAGGGAGGCGGGGGGCGAGGCATCTGTGCTCCCAAGGCTGCCAGCCCGCCTGCCCGCCCGCCAGGCCGCCCCTGCCAGGAAGCCCTAAATTTAGGTCTTCCCGCCGTGGAGGCACTGTTTCCCTCCGCAGCCTAATTACAGTAATTATGTGCATTCAGATTACATGGTAATAAAATTAGGACCCAATCAGTCCAAATTGAAATCAGATGAGTTGGGAGCAAAGTAATCAATGACAACATAAATAGAAAAGCCCAGAAGGAAGCTTCGAGGGGCAGCGTTGTCAGCAGACCAGGCCAGAAGGGCGAGCTGTTTAACCTCGGCTGGCACGCGTGTTTGGGTGCACAGGCCTGTCTGAGTCTCTTTGGCTGAATCAAGAGCTTGGAGGGGTGATCCTCTGGCCATGTACCCCACCCTTCTCCTGCCCGGAGCCCAGCTACACGCACGGGCCCCTGTCATGTCTGTTCCTTTGCTGATCCGGCCTGGAGTTTGCTGTCTTTTGGTAAAGGCTACTTAGCAGTGAGTACAATCATTTCGCATCAAATCCTGCCTTATATGAGTCTTGTCTTCCCAACTAGGTTGGAAACTGCTCCATGTACCATGTCTCAAGTTCCTGACCGCCTCTCCTTACCACAGGTGTCACTGATGGCTTAGAAAATGACACCCCAACACAGTTTGCCAGGGAGGGGTGGCCAGGCCGCCTGCATATGGTCATTGGGTCTCCTGGATCATTCTCTCCGCCCACCTTGGCAGCAGGCAGACAGCAGGCCTCAGGGAGTCGGGGAGGGTGCCGTCCAGCACTCTGCTCTTCAGAGCTTGTGGGCAGGAAGCTTGGAGGTGGCTGCAATGGGCAGGGGCGTGAATGTTTGCTTCCAAGAGCCCCCGCCCCCACCTCCCCACCTCTTCTGCCTGGTGACGGCCCCACCGGCCCAACCGTCTCCCAGCCAAGCTTGTAGCAGGGGCCAGAAAGCTGGGGGTGGACAATCTGGCCCAGCTTACAGGAAGAAATCCTGAAACTGGGACATTAGAGAAACAAGTCATGCTGGGTGAAACCCGGCTGGATGGCCTCGTGCCCAGAGGTGCAGTACCTGCTGTCCCCAGTCCTGTCCTTGTGCCTGGAACCAGTGTGCGATGCCCCAAAGCCAGGCCTGGGGCTGAGGGGAGAGGCACAGCCTGGCAGGAGACTTACATGGCTGTGGTGTCCCTGGAGCAGGTGTGGGATCAGGATGTGACAGCACTGGGCCTGGGATTAGCTGAGACTGGTCCCCGATCCTGTCCCCAGGAGCACAGAGAACCTCCAGGTTCGTGACGAAGCCTCAAGTGACTGTGTGGTGGCCTGTCTTGCTAAGACCAGCATCCTACCAGGGCTCACCAGTAGTTACTTGAGGCAGCAAGGAAGGGAGATAGAAATAACTCTCCACATATTGCCAGATACATTATTTACTCAGTGAATTATAAACCTCTGTAGGAGACACACAGACAGCAGCCAGTATGCATGCCATGTGTGACCCAGGCGAGGAAGAATCCAGTTGAAAAAGCAAGGTATGGCCTCTGATGAAGCCTCTCGTCATCTTCTCCTGTAGGGGGCAATGTGGGTTAGTGGAAAGCACACAGGCTTTTAAGGTGTGGGGGCTAGGGTTCAAGTCTCTGCTTGACCATGTGCTGGCTGGCTGGCTTCAGGTGAGGGAAGCTTCGGTTCCCTTATCTCTAACCTGGAAACATCTCCTCCTTGGCCCATCACATGACAAATGGCTACTCACTGTTGCTCGGAGATAGTGAAGAGGACTTGAAGCTCTTACTTCAGAAGATCAAAGACTTCAATATGGTTACATCTCAACATCAAGAAAACAAAACCCCTCCCCGCTGGGCCAATTGGCAACATCATGAAAGATGGAAGAAAGACTGCAGTTGTGAACGTTTTCATCTTACTTGACTCCACAGTCAGCATCTATGGCAGCCGTAACCAAGAAATCAAAAGATGTGTCAAGGACTTCATCAAAGTGCTAAAGAGCAAAGATAGCAGTTTAAATACTAAGGTACACTTGTTGCAAGCCAGAGTATTTTCAGTTGCTTACTAGACATCTGAAAGTGGGACAGTGATTAAGGATGACATTTGAATTGTGGTGGAGAAGAGTGCTGTATATCCGTGGTCTGCCCAGACAACCAGATTGCTCCGTAGAGGCAAAGACGGTGATGCTTTATCTCAGTCTGGAGGGGCTAGTCCTTGGAAAGACTTCAAGTTGGGAAAAGTTCAGGATCAGAAATAGGAGGGGAAGACCCTCAACAAGCTGCATTGACGCAGTGACTGGAGCGAGCTTTACCATATCGGCCACTGGACAAGAACAGTAATTTTCAAATTACAGTTGAGACCGGCTAGTAGGTGTCAAGGGAACTCTGGTAGCTCAGTGATAAGGAGTTGTGCTGCCAATGCAAAGATACTCAGTTCAAATCCAACAGCTGTTCTTCTGTAATAGAAGCCAATTGTTTTTCTTATACTATCTGCTAAGATTAATAGCACACTATTTAATCGGAAACCACAAGTCAACATGAATCGATAGTGTCTGATATTAGCAGCTCAAACCATGGCTCAGTTCCCCAATTCTTCTATGGGCTTTTGGTTCAGTGAAAAGATTTTCTAGAAGGTCTTACAGAGACTCAGACCCTCAGGAGACTGATTCACGTGACTACAGATATACAGGTGTGTTTTTTCACAGATATGGGTGTGCAGTGGGCCAGTCTGGATGCTTAAACACAGTCACGCTGGTGGAGGAGAAAGGAGAAAGACGGGTCATTTTTTTCCTCTGAAAATACACTAGATGGTCAACACTGGGTCAGTTCCTGCTTTGTGGTATACAACAAAACAACACTAGGTGTCAAGGACCTGTTCCACGAGACTAAATTGCAAGGATGTAAGTTTAAAGTGCCTTCACCCAACCTTGGTATTTTGAGTTGCTTCCTGTGCATATGAAAGTTGGACAGTGAATGAGGATGATGGAAGAAGAACCAATGCCTTTAAATTGTCTTGGAGAAGAGTACTGACTGTTCCAGGAACTGTCAAAAGAATAAAGAAGTCTTGAAGGAAGTGCAGCCAGGCTACTTCTTAGAGGCAAGGATAGGGGGGGGGGGGGGGGGGGGGGGGGGGCAGGGAGAAGTCGGTGAGACACAGAGAAGGATTTGGCCGCCGGCTAGGAGGCCCGAACCCCCGGGGGGGGGAGGGAATTATGTCACAATCTGATCACATCCCATGAAACACATGTGTGTTTATGCACCACGTTTTCAATAAGTATGTGAAATCTATGATGTAAAAGTAAAAAAACCAACAAACTTTATAGGAGACTGCCCGTCTGTCTTCTGCAGAGCAGCTGAGATATTACAAACTACAACACCCAGCACCTTCATAATGTTTACTAAGACTCATTGAGTCAGAACTGGCTCATACTTGACCCTCTATTGGTTTCTCGGAGGCTGTGAATCACTTGGGAGGAGATTGCCCGTGTGTGTTCTGAGAAGAGCTGGCGCATTCAAAGCAGCGGAGAAGTGCTGTCTGGGTTACCAGCACAGCTCCCTAGAAATGACGCCATCAGAGCTGCTGTATCGTTAATGGTTCGTGTTAATTTTAGCACTGCTCTGAGCACTCACCGTGGCTTCCTTCGCACTGTCTGGGAACCGTGAAGCAGACGCTCTTGTCCCATTTTACAGATGAGGGAACTGAGTAGAGTGACCTGACCCAGGTTACGTAGCTAGTGAATGGTTGGCCCAGGGTTTGAGCCCACGCGGTCCTGGAGTGTGTTTTCTTAGCTCCTGGGCTGCGGCGTCTTTCTGGGTGAGAGCTTATTCCTAGCAGCAGGCTCTGGAGTTGAGTGGGATTGGCGTACTTCAGAAGGATGCATGGATAATACTCATGGACTTGAACGTTGTCTTTGTTAATGAGGAAGGGAAATAACGCCTTTTTCTTAAGACAGTAGTTTTCCTTTTTGTTGATGAGTTAAAGCACCCACATGTGTTACTGTGTGTTAGCATGTTAGGTGCAATTCAGTCAGCGAGGCCTCACTGCAACTCTGAACAAGAAGTCTCAGCCTTGCCTTATCCTGCAGGATCCTTACTATCTCTGAGATGCCCAGACCTGTGGTTATAGTCACTGTGTCACAGTTGATCTCACTGAGGGTCGTCCTCCCTGCCTCTCACCCTCCTCCTCTCCTGACATGATAGCTTTTTCCAAGGGCTGTACCTCCTGAGAACATGCCCAAAGTCTGTGAGACCGAGTTTCATCACCCTCGCCTCTAAAGGGCACTCTGCTTGCACTTCCTCCAAGATAGATTTGTTTCTTCTTTTGATAGTTGATAGTTCAGTCATTAGGTGTGGCAAGTGCTGGCCTCAGTGTGAATTCCAGTGTGAATTCTGTTTTTCTTTTTACCGCTGAAGGTTGAGTTCTAGGCTGTGCCTGACTTGTTCCTGTGTACCAGCATTTGCTGAGCCTGCTTCTTGGTGCCCTCTCCACTGGCGCTGCAGGAAGCGAAAGCTGGTATTTGCTGAGTCTGAAGGATGTGTGGCCATGGGAAGGGTGTGTGGGCAGAGGTGGGGTGGGTTTCTGGATTCTTTTTATAACTTGTTCCTGGTGGTTTTTGGGAAAGTCTGCTCTTGTTTGAACGTTATTGTTTTGTACCTTCGAGTCAGAACCAACACATAGGTGACCCTCTACTGGGTTTTCAGAGGCTGTAAATAGCGTGGGAGAAGATTTCTCATCTTCCTCCCACAGAGCAGCTGTTGGGCTCGAATGATGGGCCCTTGTTGACAGTGCAGCTCCTTGTCACCGAGCCGCCAGAACTCCCTCCTGTTTGGACGGTGCTGAACACATGAGCCCAGCTGTCCCAGAAATGGGACTGGTAGGAGGAAGAAAAGTTAGTGGCTGTCTGCCCCACTTCTCTTCCGCCACCTCCTCAGCCCTCTTCCTGCCTCTGCCATGGGGCCTCCCGGGGTAGCTCTAGCCATGCAGTTACTTTTCTTGAAGCTCCAGCAACCCCTCATCAGCACAGCACTCAACCCCCCACACTTGGTGCTGTTGAGTCCATCTGGACTCCCGACAACCCCACATGACAGCATAGAACTGCCTGTTGAGGTTTTCTTGGCCGCAGTCTTTAGAGAAGTAGCTTGCCAGACCTTTCTTGCTTGTTACCGTTGGGTGCGTGTCATCTGCTAGCTTAGCATCGGGTTCAAAATCGACTTGTGCTACCCAGGGTCCTCAGCGCTACACAGAGTAGCCTTGATTAAGAGCTGCCTTGCTTTGGTGGCTCAGTGCACAAGGAGTTGCACTGCCAACCCCAAGGTGAGCCATTCAAATCCACCAGCTGCTCCCTAGGAGAAAGGTGGACAATTTCTTCCCCTGCAGGAGGGTCAGCTGTGAGTGGGTTCTGATTCGATGGCGGTGAGTTGCAGTATTATCCTGTGTGTGTAGACAAGGGGGAAAGTATGGTTACTGTAGGGAGCTGAACTCCCCATTTCACAGCATGGGGATCTTGAGGGCAGAAACGAAATCACTTTTTCAAGGCCTCACCACTGCTGGTAGTAAGCTGGGACTGGGGCCTGGGTCTGGGGACAGCCCTCTGCACCCCTTTTTACAGCCCTCCTGAGCCTTGCTGTGGCAGGTGGTCAGGCGACAGTCGGGCCCACCTGACCTGGGCAGACAAGGTTCCCCACCCTGTGTCCTTGGCAGCAATGATGCTAAAGACAGGAGTGTAATGCCCCAGACTCCATCCTCTGACCACGCACCAGCTGGGCAGTCACCTGCTGTCCAGGTGGTCGGTGTGAGCCCCGTCACCAGGGGAGCTGGAGGTGTGTCCTGGTCAGTGTGCGTTGGTGTCCTGCAGAAGTGGTCCACGGTCCACAGGGGTGGTTGGGCAGCTGCCTGCTCGCTCTCTGGTCACCATGCTTTATGTCCTGTGCTTCAGCCTTTTCTCCTCCCTGCACGATGGAGTTGGGGCTCCACCATCTGCACAGCCAGCTCACTATGACGACGTCTGAGTGGTGGACGTGGGGCTCCACTGTCTGCACCCAGCTCACGTCCAGGTTGTTGGCCTGACCAAGCTTGCATCATATCTCAGGATCCCAGTGTCACATTCCAGGACAATCTCTGGCCTCCCAGACGTGGCCAGCAGTCTCAGTGCACACCTGTCTCCTTCCGTGTGGGGCGGGGCTGGGGTGAGGAAAGGGTGGCACTGGCTTTGGGATCAGCAGGCAAAGTGAATTTTAATCTAGTCCTAGTTGATTAACTTGGTGAGTGTCTCCTGGGTGAGGTCACCCGTGTGTGGGTTTGGAGGGCCTGGGAAGGATTTGTCCAGCCCCCTGGCTGTGGGGTGATGCATATCTTGGGAAGGACTGTGTCCTTGCCCTGCTTGAAAGCTGCCATTCTAAATGACATGCACCACACCCAAGCACATTTGTGTATGACAGTCCCCAGGGTAGGTGCAAGGGAGGGATGCCTCTTGTACCACTGAGTTCTGTGAGCTACCACGAGTTGTCCATGTGTCCGGCAGACTCATGAGGCTCCCCTGTGTGTACCCCACTCTTGGTGTCAGATGCTGTGTGTAACACTCGTCCACTCATGACCTGGGCCAGCTTATACTGAGCCATCACCAGCGTGTCAGCACGGTGCAGGGTCCTGAGACCTCGTGCCAGTGCCCAGCCTCCACCCGACCCCCAGGGCTGGTCGAAGAGAAGCGCATTCCAGGCTGGCTGGGTTTTGTACCCTCAGCAGGGCCAGCTGGGGAGTCTAGGTCTCTGGTTAAGAGAAACTTCCTGATGGTGTAGGTCCCTCTTGCAAGAGGCCTTGGCTGCGTGGTCCTTCTGGGACAATTCCGGTGCTGGTGGTTCTGACACTGGCCACATGGTCCTGAGAAGCTGTCCACAATCCACGTGAGGAAGTGTAGTTCTCTCTGCACTTTTCCAGTGTGCCTTGGGCTGCTGGTTGTGCATGGTCTGCCAAGCTGAGGCCCACAGCTTAGGATCTTTCCCAGAAAGGTCCTCGGCCCAAGGAGAAGGCCACCCGGCGCCCAGCACTGACCTGTGTCTCTCCGCTTTGCAGCTAGAGGAAGCTGAGCACTTCGCCATGATGGTGGTCAGCCTGGGCGAGGACGCAGGGGAGTTCCTCCCCAAGGGCTACCTGGCACTGGGTCTCACCTACAGCCTGCAGGCCTCCGACGGTGAGTGTCCTTCCACTGCCCTCTGCCCGGTGGCGGGGCTTCTGCTGCAGCCTGCCTGCGTTCCCTCCTCCTGCCTGGCTCTTTCTGTCATCCATTCTGCAGGGGTCGATGTCTGTATCACATGCACCCACACACAATCTCATTTCCACTCAGCTGTCCACTGCTTTCTCAGAGGCACCCTCATTGCTTTTTTCCATGGGTCCAGTCCATTGTACTCCAGCACTCAGCCCAGCCTTGCCCAGTCCTCACTGTCCTGCACCCTTTGAATGCCTGTTGAAGTCTCTAGTCCTGTCTGTGCCCCTGGCCCTCTATCCTGCTGTGTCCCCACACTCCAATCTGGCCCAGCACTGCCAGGAGCTCTGGGCTCTTTCCATCAAGACCCAGGATGCAGAAGGGCCTCATCAGCACCATGGTCGCCATCGAGGCCTGGTGGTCTCCCCAGCATCCTTCAAGTGCCTCTCCCCTGCTTCTGTCTCCTCACACGAGACCCCACCTCAAGCAGACCCGGAATGGTCATGCCCCTCCCCACACACCCCCAGTGGCAGCTCAGGGAGTGAGCAGTAGTCAGGGCTCATCGGACCGTAGGCCTCAGAGGTCCACACAGCCGCAGTCCTCGGGGCTGGCCACCACGGGAGGGGCAGGGAGCGAAGGGGTAAGTGTCTGAGCACCCGCTCGTTACCCACAAGCATGCTTGCTCCACGCAGACCCGGGAGACAGAAAATCCCACGTCCGTGCCTCGGATAAGTGAGGGAGCCATTGCTCCTGCAGCGAAATTCAGCCCTCCTTGTTCACAAGATTCCCTCTCTGGAGCGTCTAACACGGCTGCTGTCGAGCTTACTCCAGACCAGAGTGATTACCTCCAGGGTGGCTCAGCTGGCAGCCGGGTGACCGGACAGCAGCTTGATTTGGGTTTAAATAAGAGCATTGAGGGTGACGAAGTCTAGGAGGACACATGGCCAGGATGAAGGTGGTGGCGACTCTTGGACCTGTGGTGTGCTATGCCCTTGTCACAGACTGCCTGTCCGCCCAGTAGGAGATGAAGGGACAGGGTTGACCAGAGCTGCACCAGGAGGCTGGAGTAGTCCCCCATCTTGCAGATGGAGACCCTTCGTAACCTTTCCGGTTTTTGTCTCTGCAGCAACCCTGAAATCAAGGCAAGATGAGCTGCACAGGAAAGCGCTGGAGATGCTGGAGAGGTGAGGAGGCCGAGATCAACACGGGGTCCTGCTGACATTGGGGCGCAGGGTGGCACGCTCACGGGCTCTGCCTCGTTGGACCTCTGCTGCAGTCCGTCCCCACGTTACCTTACTCTTCCCATTGTACAGATGTGCAGACTAAGGCTCAGGACTCACGTGGGGGATGAGGACGGGCCTCTGCGGCTGGGCAGGCAGGCCTGAGAGCAGCTTGAGCCTCGAGCCCTCCTCAGCACCCGTGCCGCGCCCACCCTCTGTCAACAGCTGGGACTGTGGCAGCACTGAGCATAGCCCCCAGCCTCCCAGACTCTGGGCTGTAAAATGAGAATGTCGTGGGGAGTTGGTGTGATAATTGCATGAGATAAAGTAGGAAAGGGAGGTCTGGTGGCCTAGTGGTAAGAAACTGCACTGCCATCCCAAAGGCACGTGGTTCAAATCCACCAGCTGGTCTGCAGGAGGAGGGCAGTATCCTCCTCCTATGGAATTAACAGTCTCTGAGAACCTGCTGGAGGGTCAGCCATGGGTCAGTTCTGAGTCATGGTAATCAGCAACCCTAACAACAAAAACAAAGCATGAAAGCATCTTGCCTCGGGCAGGGGCTGTCTCCTTCCAGGTTCTTCATCCATTAGAGAGTGTCCTGGGGTCACAGAGCCAGGGAGGGAGCAGAGAGAAGCCCCTCTCAGACCACCCCTTGATTAGCCCCAGGCCTGCCCCTCCGCCCATGGTCTCTGCCCGCCAGACTGTTCTGTGAGCGTCTGTGTGTGCTCTGCACATGGATGGACAGCGCTGTGGAGAGGAGCCTGGCCTGAGCTCTGCTGGGACATGTCTTCCCTCCCCACCGCGCTCTGCTTTAGCTTCCTCCCTTGGCTCTCAGACTTTAGAGAAAACTCACTGGATCAAGTTTCAACCCCTGAAGGCAAGAGAGATGGGGAGACTCCGGTCCCAAAATCTGCTTCCTTCAGAGAGGTGTAGGGTCCTGCGGGACAGCATGACCGTAACCAGGCCAAGATGCACAGACGGACGGGCCTTTAGAGCAGCCTCTGTATACACTCTCGTTCCCCCACCCCTAATGATACCCTTCCTCTCACTCTGCTGCTGCCTTAGACCCCACTCCACCCTGCAGGGCTCTCCCACAGATGCTCTGTAGTGTCTGTCTCGGGGCTGGTGTGCTGCCTGTTCGGTGATGCTGACATTCACTCCCTCTCCTCCTGTAGGGCTCAGGAGCTGGCACCTGGAGACCCCCAGGTCATCCTCTATGTCTCACTGCAGCTGGCCCTCGTCCGACAGGTGGGTGACCACAGTTCCTGACCCCCAGACCCCTGTGGGCTGCTGTGCTCAGGCTTGTCAGCCGTGTGACTTGGCTGCGAATGCCGTAACCTCTCTGAGCCTCTGTAAACCCAGCACCTTCATTCAGCTCCTTGTGAGGCTTCAGTCAGGACAGGGATGGGTCAGGTGGGCACACAGGGATCATTCTACCCAGGTTATGGGTCTCCGGAAAAGTTGACGAGTAACAATCACAGATGTTTCGTTATATCCTCACCTTCCGCGAGGTCTGGGCGTTGGTGTAACGTGTGACGGTTTCTGGACCATAGAGCTTTTTCTGGACACGGTGAACACCCCTGCGGCCAGAGAGACACCTCCTCTCCCATGACCACCCACACTCCCCACCTCCATCCACAGCTCTCCAGGCAGCCTGCCTTCTTGAATGAGCTGAGCTTGGCCTTTAAACTACTGGGTACCAGTTTGTCCAGGGACTGAGGCCATCGGGCCACTCCTGCCCTCAGCACTTTAGCATCCTCTCTGCTTTCCATGTGGGTACTGGACTCCCCGGCCAGCACTCTTTGTACACGCCCAGGTGCTAAAGCAGGAGTTATTAGAGGCCTGCTGTGACTTGGTACAGTGAGTAAATGCTGGCACCTGCCACCTGCATTCCCAGGAATGAGGCTCAATCCAGGCAGTAGGAGAGAGGCCCATAGAGTGCTCGGTCCTGTGTGTGGTCAGATGAGGGCAGTGTGGCTGGCACGAGTGCTGCTCTGTGCATCACACTAGCCTGTCCAGCCGTGGTCACCTGATGAGACAGGCCCTGGCCTCCCGGTAGACATGAGGATGCTGAGGCTCTGGGGCTCAGACACCCATGCAGGCTTTCATAAGAGGAAGCCGGCCAAGCTAGCGTTAGGCTCACTCTGAGCCCTTGGTTACAACACGCGCAGAGTACGTGAAACAGAATTTCACCATCCTTGTCTCTAAGGAACACCCTGGCTCCACTTCCTCCAAGATAGATCTGTTTGTTCTCTTGGTGGTCCGTGAAATACTCAGTCCACTTCTCCAGCACAGCTCGAACGCATAGATTCTACTAGGTCGTTATTCACGGCCCAACTTTCAGATGCGTAGGAAGCAATTCAGATGACCGTGGCTTGAATCAAGTGGATCTCAGTCTTTAATTTAAAAATTAAAGATTTTCCCCGTCTTCACTTACGTTTCATGAGTGGCAGCCATCCCCAGGGGAAGGCTGGGTGGACCAGAGGAGCCTGGTGCCTGGATTCCTTAGGGATCCAGGTCTTTGCAGCGTCGCGCGGTAAAGGGCCCTGTGTGGACTCCAGCCCTCCGGGTCATCCTACCCAGAGTGTGTCTGCTGGTGCTGAGCACTAGTGGGCCAGAAAAGTGAGGACTAGCCCGTCGGTGGCTGAATCCTGAATCCTGTGTGTGAGCCTGGCCTGGCCAGCTGGGAGTGAGGGGCCTATGACCCCTGCTAATCGGGCCTATGGCGCTGATGGCGGTGCCCAGCCTGTCCTTGAAGAAGATTGTAGATCTAAGTGATTGCCAGTGTTTTTCTCCTCATCTCAAGCTGCTGTGTCTCTGCATGTGTCTGTTGTCTGGAGCTCCCCATGTTTGGAGGACAGGTGGTCCCTTCCCCTGATCTCGGGGTAGGACTCTGCTGTCCTCAGGGGAGTCCCTGCTGACCATAGCTGAGCTCTGTGTTTGTGCACTCAGGCTCGACTGTTGGTTCCTGCAGCTTCTACACCTCCGATTTAGGGAGGATTTACGCTCCAAGTCAACCTGCTGCCCTTCAGCCTCAGTATAGGCAGAGTGGCGTCCTGGGCATGAGTCAGGTGGCAGGCCTGTCCTGCCTTGTTATTGGGGTGCAGAGTGTGGACCCAGAGGGACCCAGCCGCTGGGCTGGGCGAGAAGCAAAGGCCGCTGAGCTGAGCTGAGCCACGGCCTCTGCTGAGCCTCACTTTCTCCAGCAGATCTCTAGTGCCATGGAGCAGCTGCAGGAGGTCCTCAAAGTGAGCCGAGACGATGCCAACGCCCTCCACCTGCTGGCGCTGCTCTTCTCTGCCCAGAAGCACCACCAGCATGCCCTGGACGTCATCAACATGGCCATCACTGAGCACCCAGAGAACTTCAAGTGAGTGGGGCCCTGCGCTCGCTCCTGAGGGTAGGGGGAGGCTAGCCACACCCGGTGCTGTGCTTAGTGGCCGCTCTGGACCTGGCATGCTGTGACGATGTCCTCACTGTGTGTGTGCGGGATAGGGACAGGGTTGCAGAAGGACTTTGTGATTGTGTCAGGAGAGGCCAGGTGGGAATGGTGGGATTGCTCGGTCCGCAAGACCAGAGAAAACAATGCTCAGATATGTGGCTCAGGATGCTTCTGCTGTGCCCTGGACTTGGCATCAAGCCTCATGAAGGTAGTGACTTGAGCAACTTCGTCTTAGCACTGGTGAGGCCAGCAAAGGATGAGATTCTAAAGTGGACTGGCCTGGCAGAAGTCAAATGAATCACACACACACACACACACACACACACACACCCCACCCCACCCCACACCAGCCATGCCTCCAGACAAGCCAGTTGGGAAGTGGGGGCTGCTACAGTGTCCTCACCATCCATCCCGTCTTCCTGGCCTGCATCTCCCATCCCTTCTTGGAGTTGTGCTGTCTTAAGTCACCCTAGTCCCTGGCTGCAGGGGCAAGGCTAGGTCCTTCACACATGACTCACTGTCACCTAAGCTGAGTAATGGAGAATGCTTTGCTTTCCTAGTCTTGCTAGAGAGGAGATACCAAAAGGGGCTGACTTTCAAGAGCAGACATTTATTTTCTCACAGTTTAGAGGGCTGAAGGTCTGAATTCACGTGTGGGTAGAGGGAGGTTCTTGTTCTGTCAGCACTGGAGAAATACCGGTGTCAGCTTCCCTAGCCCCGTCGTTCCCCGAGTCCTCAGCATCCGTCTTTCTGTGATTTGATTGGAGTACTACTCCTGTGAGGGTGACAACAGGAGGCTGGAATTGTCCCAGACCAGCGTACCTCCCTCGATGGGGAACCTTCCAGCTCTGCCTGTACCAGAGAGGACTGACCGAAGGGTGGAAGTGGGCTTTTGGCATTTGGTTGGTGTCTTTGGCCCCCTTTGGTGAACACTGCTAGTGTTTTGGTTTTATTGTATAGTTTATTTGTTGTTAGGAGTATGCACAGGAAAACACCAATTCAGTTGTTTCTCCAGTTTCTCCAGGTACAATTGAGTGACATTGATGGTGTCCTCAAGTTGCCCACCCCCCACTAACATGCACACACGCACTCACTGCCCCTTGGGATTTCTATCTCATGTTTCGAGTTACTTTTGTCAGTTTGAGTCCATATAGAATAGATCTTATTCCTTATGTTCTTGCATCAAAAAAAAAAGACTAGATCTTTCCAAAGCATAATGTTCAAGGCAGACCCTTTACTGAATTATTTTTTGGTTTTGAGAAGACTAGAATACATTTTTCCCCCCCCTTAAGATTTAAAGTTTGCCTCTGAGCAATAGGTTCAGCCAACCTCCATGACGAGGAAACTTCTGGCTCTGTAGGAATTGGAAATACCTGTTTTGCGTTTGCCTCATCTTTTGATCAGGATTCTTCTAAGGAATCTTTGATCAGAATGCTCAGTATTGGTAGCTGGCCGCCATTTTTCGGAGTCACAGAGAGGAAGCAGTTGCCCTTGGAGGCATTGAGTCACTAATCCCATCTCTTCTCATTCCTGTCTTGTGCTGCTTCTGGTGACTAGAGATACATTGTGTCTTGGGTGGCTACATGCAAGCTTTAAAGCTGCCAGGTAACTAAAAAACAAGCTGAGAGGTAGGACAAACACACGAAGCATGTATGAGGCCAGTAAATTGGCTTGTTCTGTAAAAACATGACCCTAGATCTCCAAGCCCCGCGACCAGTCCCATCAGGTCTTTGGTTTAACAGAAACAGCTTGAGCAATCTTTGTTCTTTTCCCTTTTTTTTGTTATTGTTGCAAATCTCTCTGGCATACCGCTTTTTACGGGATTTGCAGCAACGGCTCTAATTGGCTGTGCAGTCTTCTAAGTATGATTTCTCCACCACTGTAAACCGAACTGCAGCATTCTGCAAGCACTGCCTTTGGTTTTGGTTGCTGACTTTGTCAGGGAGCCGAGGATACTGTCGATGGCTCTGTCCTCACCAGGGTTCAGAAAACGTGCTTTGGGAGCATGTCCAGCTGTAAACACCCCGGTGTGGCTTACGTGAGGGAGTGTGGACACTGGGATCCCAGGTGAATTGAGCTGAGGGCAGGTGGTCCTGCCGGTCACCTGTCTGCAGCCCAAGGACCTCCCCTGCCAGATCCCCACCTGCTCACTCGTCCTCACGAACCCTTCCCCCGAAGCACCTTGGCTCCCGACCCTACGTACTTTCTATTTGTCATTACGTTACAGCTGAGCCATCTCTAGGTAGTGGTGGTGATGTGTGGCCAACTTGGCATAAGCCTGTCCTACGTGCCTAGGAGGTGACCGTCACTCTGCCTTGAGGCAATTATGAAAATTTTAATCGCTTCTCTTTGAAACGCCCGCAGCTTAGGACATAGTAAAACACAGGTAGATGTGTAAAACAGCAAGACCTGCTGGGAGCTCTGGTGGCCTGGTGGGTAGGCAGCTGTGCTACCAGCCCAAAGGCGTGGCTCATTTCTAGTCCAGCAGCAATTAATGAGAGGATGAGACTGTGTGATGACACTCTGGTTTTTAATGAAAATATACAGAACAGGACGAAAAGGTTCTTCTCTCTCAGTACCTGCTGGCCAAAGCTTTGCTTTTTTCTAAGCTCCATCCAGCTTCTCTGTGGCCAGGTCTGACCCATAGCCACTGGGGTATCTACTGTTCTCACTTAGGTTTCCATAGAAACAGTCAGGGAGAGGGACACAGTCCTCAGGATGGCGGAGTGGCTCCTCACCCGCTGTGGGCAGGGGCGTGTCAGCATTTATCCCACCTGCCTGAGAAGCGGTAAGACGAAGGTGCGCAGTAAATGCGGTCTCACCAGTAGATCCTTTCTGCAGATGAAATCTTAGATGGGACTCGAGCCTCTGAAGCAGAGTGGATCACAGGGAGAGGGATACTCACCCTGCTTTCTCAACCCTCCGTGAACCCCCAGATCCAGTTTAGGGGACCCACTTCCCTTGACAGTGCAGGTTCTGAGCCCTTGTGGCCAGTGTCTCTTGCTAGCTCTGAAGCCGAGTGTTTCCTGCCAGGCAGAGCCCCTCTGGATAGTGGGGTGTCCCTGGCACCACCTGTTAGAAATCTACCTTCGGCCCAAGCTGTGTCCAGCAGCTCTAGAGATGGGGTGAAAGTGTGCCTTGTGTGTGGAACTCGCCCTGCTGGCCCTCCCTCAGCTCCCCAACCCTCCCCAAGAGAGCCCCCTGCCTCTACATCCCCAGGCTCTTGGGCTGCATAGTAAACTGTCACCTCGTTTTGAAGTGAGGGAGGTACACCCGCATCCCCTCCCACAGGAACCGGCTCCCTTACTGGACAGGCTGGGCTCACAGACAATGTCTTCATCAGGACAGTCTCGCCTGGGGTGACTTCCCTCTCCAGTGGCCCATGGTGGCTGTCTAGGACTCTTGGGGGACCCTGGGGCTGTGCAGGGAAGTGGCCTTCTGCAGATCCTCTGAGAGCTCCTCTCCCAGCAGAGGAGGAGCCCTGGGGAGGACTGTGCTGTTGTCATGGGCAGCACTGTCCCTGCTCAGTGTGGACCCCAGGTCTGCCAAGCGCTGACTGGACCAGAGCGTCCCTACCCTGTGCACAGGAGACTCGCGACGAGCCTCTGGAGAACCACCTGCTCGGTGAGAGCAAGGCCTCCTGGATCTTGCTTGTCTGGGGCTGGGAGACCTCTGTGAGGGGGAAGGAGAAGGCAGGCAGGCAGTTAAGTCTCAATCCCTGAGGCCTCCATGGGGTGCTTCTGTCTCAGTGTCACTGTGGAGCATTTGGGGGTGTGTGGCCTGCTTGTCCAGAGGCAGCAAGGAGGAGAAGAAACAGGAGAGTATATTATCTCAGAGTCACCATGAGTCCTGAGCGTCGAGGAGCTCAGTCTTGACCCAACACAGAAAGCGGAAATGGTACCTTACACAGAACATGCAGGGTGCTGAGTGGGCCTCCGTCTATTGCCCAGGTCTGTTTAGCCACTTCAGGGTGTGGCCATGACCCTCTGCAAATCCTGCCATGTTTTTCCCCACAGATGAGACCCCGGAATGCAGAAACCGGGGATTAGTGGGAAATGTCATAGAGCCCATTCCAGGTCAGGAATTACGGAAAAATGTCACTGCTGCTCGGTGGAAACAGCAGCCTGGCCTCCAGCTGCTCCCAGCCTTGGGGACAAGCCCTGTATGGCTTTAGCTGTTGCTACAGCAGCTCATTAAACAGAGAGTCCACTATCAGTGAGCAGAGCAGAAGGTTTAGCTCCTGTAGAAATGGCATTCACGGCAGGGAGGTGTCTGACCCTGTAGAGATGGTGGGAGGTGGGGGAATAAGTGGCATCTGATCCTGTCGAGATGGCACAGCAGGGCATCCGACCCTGGAGAGACGGCCTTGGGGAGCTTCTGACCGTACATACATATGGAGTGGGGGTGCATCTGATCCCGTCGTGATAGCACAGTGAGGGCATCTGATCCTGTCGAGATCGGGGAGGGTGTCTGATCTGCAGAGATGGCACAGTGAGCTGTCTAACCCTGTAGAGATGGTGTTGGGGGTCTTTGACTCTATAGAAATGGCACAACTGAGGCATCTGACTACTTAATGAGGGGGAGACACGCTGTCAGCAGCCTCAGCTCAAGGCTAGTTTCTACGAACTTGATGTCTTCTGCACCAGTGTGAAGGCTGCCATCTCTCGCATGGCCCCTCTACTTATCTGTTGTTGTACTGGATCATTCGTTGCAGTATTGACCACACTGTACTCACAGTAGTTCAGGTGTTAGTTATGGAGGGAACGGGTGTTCAGCATCCGGAGTGACATGGGAGGAAATCCCTGGTCAGGACAGCTTCTTAGCCTTGCCCCCAGGAGTTTCTCCCAGACTCTCAGCCCTGGGTCCCTTAGGTATCTTGGTCTGGCCCAGCCTCTGCAATTCAAAGTTCTTTAGCTCCTTTGATGGCA